AACAGACCCTGGCCGGATAGTTCAGTTGGTTGAAGTGTCATCCCAGTGCACCAGGGTTTCGGGTTCAATCCCTAGTCAGGGCACATACAGGAACCAACCAGTGAGCACATGGGTGAGTGGAACAACAAACTGATGAATCTCCCTCGCTTCTCTCTCTCTCTTTCAAATCAATCAATCAATAAAAGTGTAAAAAATAAAAATAAAAAAGGAACTGAAAATGGAGATAAGTAATCTATCAGATGCAGATTTCAAAACACTGGTTATAAGGATGCTCAATGAACTTAGGGGGAGAGTCAATAAACTCAGTGAGAAGATCAACAAAGAGACAGGAAACCTAAAAATGGAGATAGAAAACATAAAAAAGAACCAGTCAGAAATGAGGACTACAATAACTGAAATGAAGAATGTACACTTCAGGGAGTCAACAGATTAAACGACGCTGAGGATCAAATCAGAGATTTGGAAGATAAGGAAGCAGAAAATACCCAATCAGAACAGCAAAAAGAAAAAAGAATCCAAAATAAAATAAGGATAGTTTAAGGGGCCACAGGGACAACATCAGCTTATCACGTGTAGAAGAATGTTTTGGGGGTATTTTAAAGCAATAGCTGTCTTGACTTCTTGGCGGCCCTTCAATATCTGTATACATTTGTACGTATGTGCCCCTCCCTCTCCATTTCAAGGGAAAGAATTTTTTTCCTAATATAAAACAAAACTAAAATTAACTCTTAAAATAATTTTTAAAAATATTAATATGACTGCTTTACAGATATTTCAATAAGCAGAGAAAAAGAAAAAAGATCACCCCACAATCTCATCATTTCAACAGAACTACACTTATTTTTATGTATTTCCTTCCCTTCTTTTATGTATTTTTCTCTCCAGGGATATTCTTCCATAGTTATAAAAATGGTGTATATATACATTTTAATACATAAACTTCTTATTTCTGAATAATTTTAGCTTTCCAGAAAAGTTGCAAAAATAGTTTGAGAGTTCTTGTATACCCTTCACCCAACTGCAGTTTTCCTTAATGTTACCATCTTTCCTTTTTCAAAACTAAGACACCAACTTTAGTACATTACTTTGAATAGACTTTATTCATATTTTACCAGTTTTTGCCTCTAATGTCCTTTTTTCTTTTCCAGGATCCAGCCCAGGGTAGCACATTTCATTTAGTCCGCGTGTTCCTTAGGCTCTTCTGGTCTGTGAGAGGTACTCTGTCTTTCCTTGTTTTTCATGACCTTGAGAGTTTTGAGGAGTACTGGTCAGGTATTTTGTAGAAAGCCCCTCAAACTGGGTTTGTCTTATGCTTTGTCATGATTAGAATAGGATTATGGTTTTTTTGGGGAAGAATACCACAGAGATGATGTGCTCAACTCATCAGGGTGCATGGCCCCCCTAGTGATATTAACCTTATTCACTCAGTTAAGGGAGTGTTTGTTGGCCAGGTTTCTCTTTTATAAAGTTGCTATTTTTCTCTTTCCATACTCTTTTCTTTTCTTTTTTTCAGATATATATTTTTTAAAATATATCTTTATTGATTTCAGAGAGAGGAAGGAAGAGGGAAAGAGAGGGATAGAAACATCAATAATGAGAGAGTCATTGATCGGCTGCAAGCCTGCAACTCGGGCATGTGCCCTGACCAGGAATGGAACCAGGATGGCCTGGGTCCTAGGTCGACGCTCAACCACTGAGCCACGCCCAGCAGGGCTCTTTTCTTTTCTTTTAAGCGAATCACTAAAGGGGAGCGGGCTTAAGCTCCATCTCCCAGAGGGATAGAATTTACATATGTTGTTTGGAATTCTTCTGTGAGGAAGATTTGTCTCTTCTTCCCTATTTATTTATTTATTCCACTATTTATAGCAGTGTAGACTCATGGACATTTGACATATACTTTTTCCTCCTTTATTTTTTTTCACAATAAGATTGTGTTATAAGATTTTTTTCCATGTTACTATCATGGTCTTTATAACCATCATTTTAATGGTTGTATCTAGTAAAATGATGGTTATAATGATGGGATACTTTCCATTATTAACTTTGCATTCTTATAAATTATGCTGCAGTGAACATCTTTGGAAACAATGTTCTATGGTTCTTTGTATTCCAGTTCTGGCATGGTGTCTGGAACATGGGAACATAGTAAGCGTTCAATAGATGCGTATTTGGGATGGATGGATGGATGCTGGTCTGGCAATGTAAACCAGTGGTCCTTTGAACAGTCCTCTCACTCTTGGCCTATGAAGATCTCAAGTCTAAGTTAAATGTGGAGAAGAGAAACATGAGAACTTGCTGGAAATCAAGGTCCGGCTTCCTGTGAATCACACTTAGTTCGTAACAATAAACAAAGGCCCTTAGAGCAGAGTAAAGATTTTGTACTGTAGGCTAGTTTCCTACCTCTGGTTGGAACACATTTGGATATTTTATCAGCTTCAGCAGCCTCACATGGCTCTAAGATTCTTCTTGCGGCTTACCTTGTAGACAAGAAGATTTTAAATACTTAGTGTGTCTTTAGGACATACAAATATCATCAAATCTCCTGGTTTAGTCCCTGGCAAGGAAAAAACTGCCCGTTGAATAATAAAGTGAGTGAGGGACATTTGGAATATTATCTACTCTGATAATGACTGCTGGACAAAACAGAACAGAAATGGCTGCAGAAAAAGTAGCCGAGGGAGGAGAAGGGGAGTGAGAACATTTTCATCACTTGAAGAACTGGGAAAGTGACCACCGTAGATTTGGTGGTAAGAGATAAGGCAGCTAAGAGGGGAGGTAGTCAGCAGCAAGGGCAGAACATGCTGCCCCTTGTCTCTTCTGATCATTCTTGCTCCCACTGAGAGGCAGGGAGGGATAAACATCGTCAAGAACAGAATAACCCCCAGGTGGCTCTCCCACTCTCCAGGAAGGGTCGTGTCTGTTTATACAGAGAGCTAATGAATAGTTGAGCCCACACAGACTCTGAGGGGGTAGACACCCACTGAACTTGTCTACATTAGAGTCCCCTGCAGATCCCTGATCAGGGGGAAGCAACAGGGACACCTTAAAGGCAGACATGCAATGAGACTAGAGAGCCCCACGGTCAGTTGGCTTCACATTCACCTCAGATTTGGGTAAATGTTCTATTGAGGCTCTCTCTAAAAAAAAAAAAAGTATCTTTATTGATTTCAGAGAGATAGAAACATGAATGATGAGAGAGTCATCATTGATCGGCTGTCTCCTGCACGCTTCCAACTGGGGATCAAGCCTGTAGCCTGGCCATGTGGCCTGACCGGGAATCGAACTATGATCTCCTGGATCCTAGGTCGATGCTCAACCGCTGAGCCACGCCCGGCTGGGCCTATTGAGGCTCTTTTAGTTGGAAGAAACCAGACCTGCTCATGCTGGTAGTAATAAGGTAAAGAACCATTACTACAAAGATCCACATGGCAAAGAGGAAAACTGACCAAATTCACCTGACTTTAGGACCCCAGTGACAAGGGAAAGGGAGGCAGCCAGGATGCACATATGTAGGCTGACCCTGTCAGGGCCTGCTTTCTCTCTAGGACCTCAGCATGGATTCTTCTAGCTCAATTTGGAAGGGTTTGTGATGGGTCTTTGGTGCTATCATTGAATTTCTGCAGAGGAAGGGCTGCTGAGTTTAGGGTGATTAAAGAGAATAGGTGTCTGACAGTGGTAGATCAGGGCTATTCCTGCAGCAAAAGTAATCCTTATCAGCAAGGATCCCCAAAGGGTCATTTCATCTGTCCATCTGCATCCACATAGGATGGTTCCTTACATTTGAATGGCCACCTGGCAATTCATTCATTCATTCCATTCATTCGTTTGTTGTCCTATTAGGGAAAATACTAAATGACATGACTGTGTGAAAAGTGATCTAACAGGAGGTTTAGAAAGTGGCAAGGGCTCACCAGGGTGAATACAGAACACAGTCAGGGAAACCTAGGATGTAGCTGAGTTAGGTCTTTGAAGGAGGAAAGATCAAGGTATATTTGGGAAACTGCTAGTAGTTCAGGGAATGGCAGATCTGGCCAGGGGAAGGGATCAAACTTTATGTGCCAGGGGAAGGGATCAAACTTTATCATGGGGAGAGATATACTGGTTTTAGGCAAGGGAGTGTGACCCCACAGTAATGTTTTCTGTCTCCCCCACCCCCACTGCTCTAATCTCTTTATCCACACTATGGAGGGCAATTTGGAAATATTTATAAAAATTAAAGGTCTATGTACCTTTTGTGACAGTCATTCCACTTTGGAGAATTTACCCTACAGATAAGAGTGCACCCGTGTGAAATGATATAGGAAAAGGTTTTTCATTGCAGCATTGTTTGTATTAATAAGATTGGCCCTAGCCGGTTTTTCTCAGTGGTTAGAGCATCGGCCTGTGGACTGAAGGGTCCTGGGTTCGATTCTGGCCAAGGGCATGTACCTCAGTTGCAGGCTCTGCCCCCGATGGGGTGAGAGACGGAGACAACCAATGTCTCTCTCACATCTCTTTCTCTCTCTCTCCCCCTCCCACTCTTTCTGAAAAGCAATGGAAAAAATATCCTAGGGTGAGGATTTAAAAAATAATAAATAAGTAAAAGATTGAAACCCGGCCAGCATGGTAGAAACTCAGAATCAGCTGCTCACAGAAGTGGGGACTAAAGCATCTAAGACAATCCAGATGTTGTGGAGAGGAAGACATGCCTCACCTTAAGTGATAGTTACAGCAAAGGGATCTCACACGCGGACAGGGAGCACACCCGTGCACTGGGAAGGACTACATGCCACAACGCCTTTTACACACGAAGAAACAGAAATCCAGAGAGGTGATGTGATCTGCACAAAGTCACAGAACAAGTCAGTGACAAAGTTCCAATCCACTTTTCCTGACTTGTAAGGTCCAGTTTTCCCAGCATTATAAACACAGAAACCGCGTGAACTTTCAGACAAGCCTTCTTTACAGTGGACACTCCATACTACTTCCTGACAGTCAAGCAGGCAAATAAAAGGCAGAACTCCATTTCCTTAGTTTATTAAAGAGGACAATGAGCTGTTAGGTGTGTTTGAATTACAGCAAGTAGGAATCCAGTTCAGAACATGAGTTGTACACACACAGAACACCTCAATTTAGACTCTTGCTCCTTTTATGTTAATTTAACAAAACGCTCTAAAGCCTTAGCAGAGAAAGTCAATTACAGCTTCATTTAAGTGGAAAATATTTGCCTTCCACTCTTCCGCTGTCTTGAATCTTGTCTCCACCTTGTAAGCAAAATTGTTTCCCTTTATTTATAGGAAAGAACACTTCCTCCCTCCCATTTCATTCAGAAGGAACTCTCTTCAGTGCATTCAAAGCTTCTCCCCACATCAGGGATTTTCAGATACTGGCAAGTTACAAAGTGCTTTCAAAATATCCCACCCTCATTCCTCTCTCCCTCTACTACCAAATAAATAAATAAATGGGTATTTGGACAGTGATGACAGCAGAGTGTCAGGGTCCTTAAAACAGATATGCAACCTAAAGGGATACTGGGGCAGGGGAGGTGAAGAAAAATAAGTGGAAAATCAGGAGCATGTAAGATTGTTGAGCTCAGCTTTGGAAACCGTCAGCATTTTCCACCCTTTGATTCTACGCTAATATGAAACAGGTGGCACAATAACAAGAGGACGTCTCTCCTCCAGTGTAGTGACTTGGAATAGGAGCTGGGTTTGTCATTTCAACCAAAATTGGAAGCAGAGCTCCCCATTCTGACAAACCCTGAATCCGGCTTAGTGAGCCTTAAGTTTGATGGGATCATTCCCAAAGCTCCGTGAAAGACAAGGGAGCTACTGGTCAGTCCTTCAAAATGGGCTGGGCTGGAGACCTTAGCTTTCAGTCTTCCCCACGAACTGAAAGAACAGCCTCAGGGTCCTCCGGCCTGAGGCAGCCTTCAAATCCCAAGTTTGAGGCAGAGGGACCTACGCCACTGGTTAATTCCTCCCTGCAGCTCCCTCTTGTCCCGGTGGAGCCTCAGATCTGACCATTTCCTTACTGCCCCCTCTACTTCCTGTGAGACTTCTGGTTGCCTCCAGCTCAGGCACTTAACGGCATCCACCAACCATGTGCAACTTTCTGTTTAGCTTCCTGGGACAGCACACACACCAAGTTTTTTCTACTAGCAAGCAACTACGGAAAGACAGGTTCACAGGAAGAAGTCAGTTCCAGAATTAAAATGCTGTGGGTTTTAGTTCACAGAGCTGCCAGCCCTTGGAGCAACAACCCTAACCAGTGTTTTACATACAGTCAGGAGGTACAGTAACTAAGAACACCACAAACATATACATGGTCCCATTGAAAACTTTTCCCGTCAAAGCACACATTTTAAAAAGGGGTGTATGTGTTAAAGTTAGTGCTATGAAAAGGATGAGCGAACATATGACTATCACCAGGCTAAAGAGTTAAGTGCATAATTGGCAAAAGGCTCCTATTATCCCAAGAACACAGGACCATTCACACTCACTTCCACAAATTGTCAAGTTCTCTAAATCTTCACTAATTGCAGGAAGATTTTCCCCAACTTTGACAAAAAACTAAGGTAAGAGATCAACCACCAGAAGGGTCCCAGCTCCGTTACAGGAAAGGGAAAGAGAGAATGGAGTTGGGCCATACTTTTACTCAGAATCACAATGACCTGAGGACATAGTGGAAAGAGACACACAAATAAGACGGGGGATGGGGTTTCTGTCCTCAGTTTAGGATGGCATCAGGGACTTGCCTGAGCTTGAAAAATCACACCTGCACCAGAACTAGGGGCCTTATCACCTAAGAGACCAACAGCTCCTCTGACTGAATAAATTCTCCTTAAGCAGTGGAGCTGCAGCCTCACTTATGCCTAGTGTAAGGCTATAAATGGGCCTGGCCTAAGTAGTAATTCTGTTCTTTGCTTCAAGCCTACCAGGGCAGATAAAGATAGTCAGCTGTGACATCACCTGTGCCTAGAAGACTTCAAACAAGGAAGTTATGGCTGCCTCTTTGAGGTCTCTGTGGATTCCAGGGTAGTAATAATCCTGTCTCTGTGGCCTCAAAAATAGCTAAGTAAGCTGGACAGAATGTCTACAGTGTAGTCCCATTCTCTGCTGCTTCTCCTCAGGGTACAGTCTGCCCCTTTCAGGACTGGGAGAGAGAAAGCTCCATCCTTCTGTTTCAGCAGCAAAGGAGAAGTGAGTTGGTTGAGACAGGCCTGGCTCAGAAGCTCCAGAACTAAAACAAAACAAAACAAAACTGGAAATGATGCTTTCGATGCAGCTGAAACCAGATCTGGTCCAAGAGAAGAATGCTGTGGATGTCAGAAGTAGTGGGTCTCAGTGTCCACTCGCGACAGAGGCACTGGAAGCTTCGCTCTAGGACCCATGTGTCAGTTCTGATGGAAATACCTGGTAATTACAAATTGTCACAGCAGACTGGACCCCACCAACCCAACAAAGGTTGGCTATATATGGACATTAGACAAGTCATAAAAAAAATAATAATGATAAAAATAAAAATAAAGTGGGGAAAGTCCTTCAAAGGGTGGCTCAGTTCTGCGTTATATGTGACCCTAGCCCCTAGGAAAAGGGCTTAACGTGCTTTCTTCAGGTGGTCTCCAGAGTGGTAGCCTCTAGGGCCAAAGCTTCAGTGGGTTCCTCCTCATAGTCTGACATGTAGGACTCCAGGCTCTGCTTGGCCAGCAACTCCCGCCGGGCCTGTAGTCGTTCACACCGGGGACAGCTTCCAGACTTGAAACAAGCTTTATGGTAACACGCCTTACATTCTATTCAGGACGGAAAGGGGAGAGAGAAGGGCACAATTTGTATTATCTCAAGCTGGAAGCAGGTTGCTGCTACAGCCTCTTTTCACCTCGTGGCCCAGGGCGCGTGTGGTGAAACACAGGGAGTTGCTGAATCAGGCCAAACTCTTACTAACAGGGGTGGCCGAAGGGAAGTAAACTAGCCCTGTGCTCAGTCTTATCTGCCCACCCACACCGGGCACCAGCTCTCACCTTCACAGGTCCGGCACTTATGGAGCTCAAAAGGGAAGATGATGTCCTCCTCGTTCTGACAGAACTCGCAGATGAAGCCCTTGGCTTGGCAGAGCTGGGGGGAGGGACACGCAGCAACATGAGGAACAGCACGCCAGGAACCGGCACAAGAGTGCGAACGAAAGCGAAGGGACGGGCAAAATATGAGACTGGAGTGGGCTCTAAGGTGTTCTCCTGCCTTCAGAAAAGAGACCCAGGCCAAACTCAGAAGTATGACAGGCAAACTAGGACCGGGCTGGGCAGTGTTAGGCACAAGTTTCAAAAACTCCAACCATGAGAACTGGCTCCCAATGTAGAGATGAAAAGTAGAAAGGAACAGTGCCCAAAAGGCTTCCTGTAGTCAAAATTCCAGTCTGTGTAATGATTTTATTTTTAAATAGGAACCACAGCCAATTAAGATAAAATGTGAAGGCAAGAATATTTCTCCAAAACACCACCCAGCCTTGAGTCATGTTATAGCTAAATCTCTCCAATGCCCCTGCTACACGGGGTCTCCGCAAATGCCCCATTTTAAGCTCTAATTCTGGGACTATCACAGGAATACAAACTAGGCATATTCTAAAATGAGAAATTGTAAAAAGAAATTTCTGAATTTCTGGCATGTTGGATATATCAAGAACAATAATTTGAATCTATAGAACAATTAGTTAAAACTTGTAAAATACTTTCACATAAATTATTTCATCAGTCCTCAAAAATACTGAGAGGAAAGGACAGTGAGTATTAATTCTGAACTTCATTTTTAGAGACAAGAAAATTGAGGCTTACTTCAGAGAGAGCAAAGCATTTCCTTTGGTCACAGTGACTGAACATGATAAAGTTGAGACCCAGGCCCGCTCCAGATGCTAACCCAGGTTCTCCTCCCCCATCGTGACAATTTTTTAGTGACAGCCTGCTTAGAACTGCCCAGTTATACAGGGGCAATGCCAGCACCAAATCCTCTTCTAATTCTAGATTCTTTCAATCTGGATGATTTAGCTATTCACTAACCCAGGGAATAGCAATCCTGTCCAGCTTCTCTCAGTGTTGACAGGCCATTTCAACTTCCTGGAACTAAATGGCAGGAACCCAGGTCCACCCCACAACCTGTATCCCTAAGCAAGGATCCAGCTGAGTTCTAAATCAAGGCTTTCTTACCATGCATCGCTCCACATGGGCAGCCCCTGCCCTGGTGAGCTCAGCAAGCTGGGGCCCCAGCTCCCCCTTCCTGGTTGCAGTCAGGTCATTCAGCGAGTACAGGTGGAGGTCTTCTGTCAGGTGGCCTGGAACTGTGTCAAAGGAATCCAGAAGGCTACGAGAGATGAGGGGAAGTGGGTGGGAGCAGGGAATGAACACCTTGTGTGGCACATCAGAGTAGAGGGATTTCTATTCAAATGCAGGATGAGGGAAGAGAAGGGTTCCAGGCAGAGGTAAAAAAGTGGGCAACACTCAGCCAGCCCAGGTGTTCCAGGCCACCCCAACCCTCCCACACTACCAGGTATCTGGATGGCAGAAGTGACTTTTATACCCTTTTGCGGAGTGATTCATACCAGCTTTCAAAGAGTGGCGGGCCTGCAAGTATAAAATCACCACAATTTCCCCTTCCAGAAAGAAGGATACAGGCAGTTACTATTCCTCATTCACCCTTTCTGGAATTTTCTGCAACATCCCCCTACTCTCCTTCTTCACATAACAAGGGCCAACTGCTGGGACATGTTTCTTTCAGAGACATTAACTCAGCCAGAGGCCTCTGGCCTCCACACAAGACTTACTCTTTGGCCAATCGGCATGTCTTGAACATGTTCTTCATGTGATATAGCTGGATCCGCAGCAGCTGAGGAGACAGACATTGTCGTGGTGGGTGTGGGGTATGAAAAGGAGAGAAACAACCATTAGACCAGTACCTTTAAACCCTGGGAGCCAGACTGTTCTCTGTACCTACAACTCAACAACTCACTACAAAGTGACCTCCAGTCAGCCCCTCTGCTAGGTCAGTCTGCCAAATCATATACAGAGCTAGGAGCCGCTAAGAAATCCAGAATTCAAATTTCCCACCTGATACCTTATTCTCCATTCACAGAATTTTCAGAGAAGGGAGAAATCCTGCTTTTGCCATTGAGTGCTATCTATAGCTTCAGAGCTGCCTTGGAAGGTTTTGAATTCTAACTAGACAGATACCTGGGAAATGGCAAGAGAAAGTACACAGAGGAAGAGAAAGTATGAATGATGAGATGGTTACAGCAATGACATGGTGACAAAGAGAAGTGTGGTGATCTTGGGGAAGCCTGTACAAGCACAGGGAGAGGATGCAAAGGGTAATCTATGATGTGACCTTTTCAAGGGTCTTACCCGAACTTGGTTGAGCAGCTTGACCTTCCTATAGAGGGCGCTGTTGATGTCCTGCACATTGAAGAGAGGATCATTCCAGATCTTAATGAGCAGATCCTTGGAGAAATTGCTGACATAATACTTGCTGAAGTCCCACTTGCGCAGAACCCGGCTGGGGATAACCATCTGGGCATTCTCATGGCAGCACTGACAGAAGTACTTGCCCAAGTACTCACAGTACCGCAGCCGCTTGATATAATCTGGAGAAAACAGGAAGTCAAGAGGTCAGATGTGGCTTTCCCATCTATAAGCTGGTGAAGCAGCGCTGCTGTTGCTTTTGAAAGAGCAGGAAGGGATAGCCAGTGGGCTCTAGCCACCTCTATTTGAGCTCCCAAAGCTGGCAGAAATCCACATAGTGGGGCCTGTGGTTTCTGGGTATCACCCTCTAGGCAACTCAGGAAACAAACCCTACCAGAGTTGGTAAGATCCAGCCTCCAAGAACCTGGTCAAAGTACCCAATTTTCTCCAGTACACAATCCTGGTAAGTGCTCCCAGAAATAACTTCCCTCCACTGCCAGTGTGCTTGCCTAGTCTTATCCCTTCCCTTCCAGGCCCTTTCCTTCCTTTTCTCCAGTTCTGTCTGTCACCTCCTTTTACTACCTCTCTGACCAACGCCCCTGCCCAAGCGTGTGAGAGGGTAAAGCCTTGGAGTCAGTAAGGGGGTCAGAGAAGATACTCACCAGGGTCAGTCCGGATGCCACATCCAGCACAGCGGTAATTCTGCTTGGCCACAGCAATTTTCCTCCTGAGGAAAGGGGAAGGAAGGGATTGGCATTACCAGCAGCGTGAGGCCTCTGGGATGTAAAGGATGAGGGTACAAACACAGGGGTCTTACTAAGGGTGGGAAGAGAGGGGCATTCACCTATTTTTTAGAATTGGACAAACTGAACCTATTGGGAGAACCAATTCAAACCAAGGATTAGAAGGTTAAAATTTAGGTCTAGGCAGTGACTCTCCCCAGTAGTGAACCACACTTCTTGTACATATGTAAGAGATGAGAAATAGTCAAGAAGAGAGAACAACATAAAAGAAAAGCAATCATCCATCTTAAAAGAGAAGAAAAACCAGTAAGCTCACAGAACTACTGGGAGGAAGGCAACAGGTTGGGAAGGCCAATGATAAAAGACTCATTTCCTGGTAGCTCTGGGAAGGAACGGTAGCATTAAGAGTAAGACTTAGAGACAAGACAGATAATCCTCCTCTCCCTCTTAGAATTGTGTGGGATGTACTGTTGGATGCAGAGACGAGGGGATGAGGGAACAACCCTGACAATCCAAAGAGAATATATCTTTTTCAGAGGTCATAGTCACTGGCTACTCACGTTGGGGCTGGATGAACATTAAAAATTATCTGAGGCCGGGGTGGGGCCCACTCCAGGTTGCCACGAACACGAATACGCAGTTTGTAGATGTCAGCATGCTGCCCATCATCTGGTGAGATGGGCAGTGAGTCGGGGATGGGCAGGAGCTGCAGGAGGAAAACATGGGGTGATCTACCGTGAACAGTCTGGGGGAACACATATTCTGGTCATGAAAGAAGCATAGTCAATGAAAGAATTCCAGGAACATCATAGGTAAGAGCTTCAGGGAACCTTGGCCCTTGAAACTGTAAGGCACCAGGCTACTAGAAGTGAGGGCCTTGGTTCCAAGAAGCAAAAGGAACAGGAACAGCATCCAGTGTAGTGGCACCAATTGCTGATGCTGCCACAGAACCCAGGTATCCCCGGGTGCTTCGTGCCTTACTCAACTCCAGAGCAAAGAAGAATCTGAATAATTCACTTTTTCACACAGTCTCAAAGGTGGTCATGCACAGGAGTTCTGCCTCTGGGTCTAGTGAGCAGTCATGTGGAATAAAGACAGTGAAGGAGCCATTATCTCCTGTTTTGACAATTGCTAGGGAAGACCTAGGCAAGTATTCATTTGTTCATGCATTCATTCAACAAATTTGTAAGAATGACTTCAGTGAGTTAGGAAGGAAACACATAGGCTCATTCTAGATTGGGGACATGTAACNATTTGTTCATGCATTCATTCAACAAATTTGTAAGAATGACTTCAGTGAGTAAGGAAGGAAACACATAGGCTCATTCTAGATTGGGGACATGTAACAGAGCAATATCAGAAAGGCTCACAACCTCCTGGGGCTGGACAGAGGGTGGAGAAAAAGAGCTGAAGAATCTACCTTCTGAGGTGCATCATGCTCTGGAACTAGCCACTCTAGCTCCGAGGCGGCTGGGAGCTGCATCCCCTCAAACTGCTTCAGGAGCCCCATGGCCACTGCCTCAGCAGATGTGGAGTGGAGGAAGCAATGGGAGCTGGAAAGGAGAGATTCAAGTAAGGCTGAACATAGAGAGAAGACAGGAAGATGGGAGCCTTCCCTTCAGAACCTGGTACCAGATGCAGTGACTTCTGGGCTGACACTTGCAAAACCCCCAGTCTACTAAGCTTCTTTTCTCATCATCTTTAGACACATGTGTATAGTGGAAACTATACAGGTCTTACAGTCCTAAGACTGTGGCTCATATCCCACTTACAAGCATTGCATGGCACTGCTAGTTAAGAATTCTGTATCACTTCCTTTCTTTAAACTTCAGTTTCTTGCCCGGCCGGGCATGGCTCAGCGGTTGAGCGTCGACCTAGGATCCAGGGGATCGGGGTTCGATTCCTGGTCAGGGCACATGCCCGGGTTGCGGGCTTGATCAATGGCTCTCTCATCATTGATGTTTCTGTCTCTCTCTCTCCCTCTCCTTTTCTCTCTCTGAAATCAATAAAGATATATTTAAAATAAAATAAAATAAACTTCAGTTTCTTTACTGCAAAATGAGTAAACTGCTTCGTGGACTATAAAGGGCTACTGTTACTCCCACATGAGCTACTATAATGTGGAACCTATCCAATTTGATTTCACAGTTAGAAATCATGATCACTCTTTTCAATTGTGGGACCTATCTTCTGGGGGCCTCTGATATAATCTGTTAGGAAAGAAGGAACAATCCACACAGCAAGCTTTGTCTCCATCAGAGCCCACCCACTTTGAACCACTGATCTTCTGCTCTCTTTCCTTGGGCTTGCTACCATCAACCAGGCAGGCCCATCCTTTAACCTTGCCTCTGTGAATTTGGATGGCTTCGTCCATTGTCTTTCCCATCCATGTGCCAAGAACTGGGTCTGTTTCTCCACATACCCCACGGTTTTTTATTTATTTTATTTTATTTATTTATTTTTAAAAATATATCTTTATTGATTTCAGAGAGAGGAAAGGAGAGNGAGAGAGAGAGAGAGAGAGATAGAAACATCAATGATGAGAGAGTCCTTGATTGAGTCCGCTACCTGGGCATGTGCCCTGACCGGGAATCGAACCCCAATCACCTGGATCCTAGGTCAACACTCAACCGCTGAGCCACGCCCGGCCGGGCTATTTATTTTATTTTTCAATTACAGTTTACATTCAACATTATTTTGTGTTAGTTTCAGGCATTCAGCATCGTGGTTAGATAATCATATACTTTACAACGTGATCCCCCAATATTTCAATTACCCACCTAGCACCATATACAGTTATTACAATATTATTGAGTATATTCCTTGTGCTGTACTTTACATCCCTGGACTACTTTGTAAGTACCAATTTGTACTTCTTAGACCTAGCAAGTCCACTTCTGCGTATATATCTGAAGAAACCCAAAACACTAATTTGAAAGGATAAATGCACCCCTATGTTCACTGAAGCATTATTTACAACAGACAAGACATGGAAGCAACCCAAGTGCCCATCAATAGATGAGTGGATAAAAAAGTTGTGGCATGTATATAGAATGGAATACTACTTGGCCATAAAAAGAATGAAATCTTACCATTTGCAACAGCACGGATGGACATTATGCTAAGTAAAATAAGTCAGACAGAGAAAGACAAATACCATATGATTTCTCTTATATGTGGCATCTAAAGAACAAAATAAATGAATGAAGGTTTTATTTATTTTTTTAAAAGTACTTACACGGTCTGGGAGGAAATCAAGGATTTGTTGTTTGAGGCTGTGCTCCTTCTGATGTCAGCATCTAAATGGAAATCAGAGATAAGGGGAGTAGGAAATAGAAAGAGAGGCGGTAAGGGGTAATAATGAAAACCTTTCCAAGCTATTGCCAGCTAAGCACTCATGGTGGCAGCTAGGTGCTAAATTCTATGCGGGATAAGTAGCCAAGTCCCTGTGAAGCTCTACACATAATTTATAGTTTGGCTCTGTTCAAGTCACAACCAGGCTGAATTAGTGACAGTAAGCATAGCATTGAGAAGGTCAAAGTGACTACAAATCCAGGTGGAAAAACAAACTCAGATTTGGTGCAAAACAGTGAACAAGAAAAGGAGGAAGCATCCTAAGGCACACAGCAACACACTCTCTACCAAGCAGAAACACAAAATAAATTACTCCACTTTCTCCCTCATTCTCTAAATCTCAAGCCCTCTTAAATAATAAACTCTCAGAGGCAAGAACTCTATCTTGCTCTTTTTCATAACAGAATCAGTACCTAACCCAGAACTTGGACCACAGAGGTTACTCGTTAAATGTATGCGGAATTGGAATTTTGCTTCTAACATCTGATCACTATTGCTATCACCTCTGAATGTGAGAAGTCTTCTATATCTTAAGAAAGCTTCATGGAAAAATTTCCTTCCTGTCTGGTGGTACAGGGAAGAAAAGGACTTCTCTATGGCTTGGCAACTCCCTGGAGATGCTTGATAACCAACAAATTTTCACAGAGTTCTTCAACATGATCTTTAGGCATAATTACAGAAAACTATGGCAGACTTTTCAACACATATTTCTGCTAAAGGATTTTGAAGAGGATTTCTAATAATGATATGCCTGAACCTCCAGGGACCTCATCTAGCCAGATACTTAGATGAGGGGAATGTGAAATATACCAGTCATGTTCAAGAAAGGCAAATAGAATCTATTCAAGTCATGAAAACAAGACTGTTCAGATAAGTCTAATCCCTCATTTCCTTTGATGCCCAGTGAAAAGATCTTCTTTTCCTAATTAAAACCTACACAATGATCAATCTACTGCATTCAAGCCCCTCAATAGAGCTTACATGACATCACTGCACTTGGCTATGAGTAGCTCAACTGTTCTCCACATTTCCCCTTGCTCTCTCTTTTTCATATGTGCCATTAGATGATAAAATCTTCATGTGAGGAAATGAGATTGTGTCCAATTCTTCTGTTTGGCCCTAAAATACTTAACACAGGGCTCTGTATACAAGTACATATTCAAACAATATTCCTAACAAATCAATGTCTTCAGAGCTATATACACAAGAGAATAGAATTAAAATCTGTCAATTTTCATATGCTCTCTAAGCATAGAAAACTCAAGACAGCAACATATTTGACTAGTAAATAACAAATTTTACTTTTTAACAAATAAGTTCATATATGTCAAATTATCTGTCTGAATTTGTACCATCCCAATATACTGCTAGTTGTCTATTCCATTCTAAACAGTGCTAGTAGAGGAGAAAAAAAAATTTTAGGCAATAGTAGACCTTCATGGACCATTTGGTTTGTACCATTTATTTAAATAATGTTTACACTGTTTTGAACTGTACTTAAGTCTTGCCTTGTCCTTATAAAACCCTCAGAGTGTTTTGTACATAATAGGTTTTTAGAAACCATTTCCCAAATAAATGATTAATTGGCTAAAAGCAAAAAGCAAACTTTAGCTTGTTTGGGAGTGATTTAAAAGAAAGAGAGAGAGAGAAAATCTTAGACAGATATCCTTGAGTAAAGAGCTAACTAATATTGTTACTTTAGGGCCAGACTATTAAAGAAAAGAGGAGAGATGATTGATATTTCATGACTGCTAAGGAAACCATCATTTCATAAAAACTCTTCAGCAATTCTTCATCCTCAAAGAGAGAAAGTCTTATTTTCTTTGAGAGAAAAAAAATCAGTCTCTCCTTTTCGGAAAATATAGCCAAGTCATGCTTTATCGAAAATATAATTAAGTCATACTTTATCATGTTTCTTCCTTACCACAGGTGCAATGACTTCCTACCTAATCACAAATATTCCCAAGAGTGTGGAAGACCATACAGGTCTGGATGTGAGGATCCTACCCCAGGAGTGGAGGGGAAAGGCAGCACCTGATATTATAAGAGACAACACCTGACACTGGTCCAGGACCATGAAGGCCTGAGGTACTAGGATTCTGCAGCATCCTGTCGACTCTCTAGTCAGTTTAAGCAGATGATTAAGCTAATGTGAGTGGAACACTAGCTGAGTATTTGGATAAAAGTAGACAAGGATCTAAGATAATTAGGGATTAAAGAGAGAGGAGGAAGCTATTCATCTGGATGGATTAAATGTATCCCAAATGAAAACACTTTAGAAAGAAGTCTGAGAAACTTGCTTTCCAAATGGAAGTTAACATAATTATGAAAAATTTTATTGATTTATTGACAGAAACTGATTTCAAATGCTTCTGATGTACTACTGACTGAAAAAGCTAAAAAATATAGAAATAATGACATGTTATAAGAATAATTTTTGCATGTCCAGAAACTAATATATGGATGATCATGGAAGAACTGGTTAAAATCTTGGTAGCAAAGTCAACAAAGGCATAGGAATAGAGTCAACTTCAGAATTTATCGGCCAAGTTAGAGGTCGGTTTCCACCCTGCTTTCCTTCTAGCAGATAAGGTTATACCCAAAACATCACATCTAGAAAGCAAACTCCAGTGAATTTTCTGTAACTACTGATTCAAAAGGAAAAACTTCAGAATGAAGAACCACAATTATTCTTATTAAAGGAGGAAAAATTATTAAAAAGGGGAGGGTAGGGAGAAGCAACTGATTACCTTGAATTGGATATAATTTAAAAACTTGTCACAAAATATAGTTCATGAACTTTCCTCTTTATGTATTCAATTTATTTCCTTTCAGCTCCAAACTTGTCCTTCTGTTTGTCTGCTCTGTGATAGTGGAGCTGGACTTGTAAACATTCATCTTTTGCTAGCTGGTGCAATGTTGAGCTTTGACAGTAGAGGGCACTGGAGGGACACTGGAGGAGGAAGGGGTTTCTCGCGCTGGTTCTTGTGTGCTCCTCTGGACAGACGCCTGTACTGCCTGTGACTCTCCCCTGGGTAAGCATGCCTTGAGGCAGCTTTGCAGCAGAGTGCCACTAGTGGCACTTCTCATTAAAAGGCTTCCCTTGGCACCTCCTGGAAAAGCTTCACAGCAAGAGGAGGCTTCCCATAAACCTCTTCTGCCAGCTCCTCTGAGTTTTGAGGCATGGCACCTCCCTGTGGACAGGAAACCTCCTCCAGCACCCCAGGGAATGATTTCCTGGTGAGGGCCATTGGCACGGCACCTCCTGTGGACAGCATCCCCTGGCATACTCTCAGGGCAGCACTGCAGCTTCAGAGAAGTTCTCTACCATCCAGTGAGCCAGGAGGTCTGAATCTCAACCTTGGAGATGTGGCCCTCTTCGACATTTGTTCCCACCCAGGGTGCTCTATCTCAGCCCTAGGGATAGTGACTGCTGCCGATATCTGCTATTCCTGTTTGCTCTACCATTCTCTTTACTCCTTATGAGTCAGTTTCCCATTACTTTGATCCCTCCATTATAGTTAATAATTCTTTATATTAAACTTTACCTACTCAAATTACTGTGTGGTTTCTGTTTCTTGATTGGACCCTGACTAGATACATATGCCCAGAAGACTGAAATTCTAGAAGAATCTACAAAGGAAGATAATGAAGAATTCATGCAGCTGTAATATAAGAGGATAAAGGGGGCTTTGGGGGTAAAAAGAACAATAAAACACTGAAACTAAAGAAGCTGAAAAGACTATCTGGAATTGGGAGCTTATGAATGATATCAAACCAGTGTGGCAGACACCATCAGAAGAAACAGGTAAGGTAAAAGAAGCCAGACACAAAAGATCATATATTGTATGATTCCATTAATATGAAATGTCCAGAAAACATAAATCTACAGAGACAGAAGGTAGATTAGCAGTGGATGGGGGCTTGAGGTGGAAACAAGAATAACTGTAAAGGGGCACTTAGTGGGAGATGGTGAAAATGTTCTAAAACTAGATTGTGGTGATGGTTGTACAACTTGGTAAATTTACTAAAAATTATCATACGCTTAAAGTGGGTGAATTTTGATAGGTAATTATACTTCAGTAAAATTGTTTTTAAAAAAGAAATAGATGCTAATGAATACAAAGCTTTCTATAATCGCAAGGTTTATATCCACTTTATTGCTAGGAGGAAGTAACTTTCAAATCTATTTCCTTCATAAACACTTCTGTTCCATATGGTTGACTTGATGAATTGGGATCTAAGAAAAGTAACTATTTATTAAAGAATATTTATTATAGATGATGTCCATAATATGATTCTCAATTTTTCCAAGGATATATGAATTCTGATGACCCTCCTATAATAATATCCCAACAGACTCTTCAATAGTGTAAATCACTTACGGTGATCAAAAAGAAACCTCTAGACATGATCTGTAAACTTCTAGAATTGATAAAAAAGATTGCTAATAAAAAGCATAATGACATTTTTTAGCAAGAATTTGGTACCAGTTATAACCTTGATTAAAGGCCAGAAACAGATGAAAAGAAACAGAAAGCAATAAAGAAATCTAGAGTAGAGAAAGATGAATTGGATATTATACTTTCACAATTGGGAATCTGTGTCCAAAGAAATAAAACTTTTGAGATAGGCTTGTTCTGACTGCGTTCCCCCTAAACTCCATAATATGTTGGGATGTGGATCATAAGAAAAAGTAATTTTTTAACTGAAAAATGTTTCATATTCTTGGTGTATAAAAAAAGCTTTAACACTCCCCAAATGGGTGAAGGATGCTACAAAGACCAACTAAAGGTGAGCTGTGTGGTTAAAATAGACTGACAGAGAGGTGGCTTACATCAGTAAATGCACGAGCAAAGGGCTGTCGTCGTTAACACGTCAGAAACCAGTTAAAAAGTGACAGGGTAATTACATCTCAAGCAAGGGAAGACTAGGTTAGAATAAATTATAACAGTTCAGGACTAGAGAAAAAGGTACCTAATTATTTTTATTTCTCTAAATCAATCTAATTTTATATGTTTATTTCAAATTCTAGTTGCTAACAATATTAAGTTAAAATTAACTTTAATAAGCATCCTGAGTTTTGCTGTTTGTGTGCTGTAAAGCCACTTTGAGTAGAAAACTGCTACTTTCTTTTAGTTACTCTACCTACGGAAAGCCTATCTGTTTGGATCACAAAGCAATTACTAAAGCCAAATATTTGCAACAGTAAATCCTAATTGTATGCTAGAAGACAGAGCTTTTTAGCCCTGCAAATTCAAAACTTTAGCTAAACAAACACTAAATTTCATACCATTCTATCTGATTTTTGCTATCTGGATATATGACAGTAGCTTAGCTATAGGCTTAAACTAAAATTTCTTCACCTGACCATTCCTTTCTAAACTGTCTACTACCTGCATCAGCCATAATGGTCACTTAATCTACAAGTATCACTTAGGGAAAGATAAACAAGGACAATCTCAGAGAGGAGTATTGGTAGGGTGATATGAGGAAGAAGAAAATGAATGTCTAAATTGTCCCTAGCCGGCTTAAGCCATTTTCCCAGCTAGTTCTCCAGGCCCTGTAGTCTTCATAACCTTGACAGGTATCACATAAACTATGTACAAAGGCTGGTACAAACATTCACACACATACATGTATGAGCACACCCACGCTTGCAACATAGGCTACCTGAAAACATCGAGGCCATTGACACTGAGAGTCCATTCTTTGACATGTGAGTCAGGTTAGATCCTTCACTACCATCTGTGTAATAATGATTATAAAAGGGGCCCTTTAGTATTCAAACAGGAAATAAATCAATGAAAATGACAGTTCTATACCACATATTCCTGGAATCAGGATTTGACTTTTGCTCCAAAAGATGAAACTACTTTTAGGAACTTAAATCTATAGGTATTCTCTACAGGTATACTATTCACTACAGCTTTGGTTCTCAACTGGGGGAAGGTTTTGCCAGATTTTATAACTGGCAATGTCTGGAGACATTTTTTAATTGTCATGGTTGTGGGAGAGGGTAGTGAGCTACTGGCATCTAGTGGGTAGAGGCAGGATGATGCTAAACATTCTACAATGCACAAGACAGTCTATCACGACAAAGTTATGGGGCCTAGAGTTCGAGAAATCCTACCTTAAGATCTTTTCCTTTAAGGATTTCTGTTTTGAACTGACTAGAGAGTTAGTTGATTAAACATCTTCTCTGGGCCCACTGGTATATTTCATGCCACCCCCAGGCGGGCTATTTCAAATCTGGCTTCTTCCAGATTACATAGTTTCCCCTGGCTCTTTGCTTTGATGCAAGGAACAGACTTATCCGCACCCAGTGAAGCAGCATGTTTTAAATTTACCTTAATATTACCCTCATGAAATTCTGACTGTTGATCCCAAGAGAGAGGCAGAAATTTTTAATTTTTTTCTAATTTGGAGATCAAGTCAATCACAGACTGTGGCATAATAAAAAATATATATTTGGTTTTTGGACCAGTTGCTGGCACAGAGCTCCTAAAATCCTTGTTATTTCCTGAGTGACAGGAATGTCCTTTGTTATCCATAATGAGCCCCTTTCAATTATAGCTGAGTTTATGCTATTAATAGGGGGACTCTTGGGGACACGCAGATAGCTTGGATAGGTCTGGCAACCAGAAGAACTTTTAGCCCCAACCCCAATTTCCCAGGAGGGGAGAGGGCCTGGAGATTAAGTTTAATCACCAATGGTCAATGATTTAATCACTCATGCCTATGCAATGAAACCTTGATAAAAACTCACAATGATGAGGCCCGGGGGAGCTTCCTCGTTGGTGAACATATTGATGTACCAGGGTAGTGGCACACCCTGACTCCACAGGGACACAGTCTGGAACCTTGCCCTATGAACTCTTCATGTAGCTGTTCATTTTTATCCTTTACAATGAACAATAATGGTAAGCATAGTGCTTTCCTGAGTTCTGTGAGTCAATCTAGCTAATTATTGAACTTGAGTAGGGAGTCATGGGAACCCCTGAATTTGTAGTTGGCTGGGGAGATGTGGTTAGCCTGATGACCCCATTTGTGGCTGACATCTAAGCAGGGATAGTCTCATGGGATTGAGACCTTAAGCTGTGGGGTCAGGTATGTGCTCCAGGAGTTAGTGTTAGAATTGAATTGTAGTGTCAAAGAATTGAAGAATTGTTGTTGGAAAACCACATACAAACACACAAAAAACAAAAAATGAGTTTTAAGTGACTACTATTGTCATGAATAGAAAGCAGATACATTAAGGAAAATACAGAAGGAAGATTTCCTGGAAACCTGGAAAAATATGTGTAAAAATTCTATTTCTGAATGGGAAAGAAACCCAGCTACCACACCTGGAGGTCTGTGCAGGTGAATGGGTTCTCTAGATTGGTGCAAACAGGAAATCGGAGCCTCGTGCAATAAAAGATCTATCTATTCATCATCATGTTACATTGGAGAATTACAGATACAATTCACCCTCTATAAGAAAATCACTCTTGGTTTCACCCATGGGGAAAAAGCTATGTCCTGAACTGGGCTTTTTTGTTGGTTGGTTGGTTGGTTGGTTGGTTTGTTGGTTGGTTGGTTGGTTGGTTTGGTTGTTGCACTGATGGGAACTTGAAGAAATCTATGATTTGCAGGAATGAATTAACCCATTAATCATGGGTTAACCTAGTTTACACAACTGCCTTCTCAGATTAGGACCCCGCCCCTTCTCTATGCAGATGCTCACAACAAGAACAACTACAAGAGTTTGTGATTCTGCTAAGCAACTTGGCACTGGTAGGACAGAAAATAAAGCTCTACTTTGTAAACTATATTTTTCACCCCCAGTGACTCTTTCTGTCCTTTCTCTCTTAGGATTATAATAAAGCTCCTTTTAAACACTTTGAAACAATTTCAGTTGTATTAGGAAATACAAAAGAATAGGATTCTAATTTCATGTAGGTACGGGCCAGCCCCAGGCTCTTAGCAGAGGAATCTAAGTGAGAGTCTAAGAGAAAGGTGCACTTGAGGAAGAAGTACCAGGGTGACTTCAACAGCCAGGCCACTCCACCTGGAACACTTCCTTTCAGTGTTCTTTCTGCTTAAATTTTAAAGGGGTTTTGTTTTTAGCAAGAGAGGCTGTCCTTTACAATAACCAAAAACATTCCAAGCTACTTGGGGACAGCTTCTCAGCCTATGATTCAAAATTTAAAAAAAAACAGGTAATGAAAGCTTCCTTGAAACAAAGTGCCACTTCTTACCTTGGATTTCAAATTCATCAACTTCATCAGCAGAGCCAGAGCCAGATTCAGAGAACTGTGTGGAATCACGTGAACTGAACTGGGAGCTGCTGGAAGTGATCCGAAAGCCTGTTAACGTTTAAAAAGAGGGGAAGGGAATCAACAGGACAGAAAAACATCTACTTCTTCTGGGGTCACAATGAAGGACCTAGTACAACTTCAAGAGAGAAGTAAACAGAACCTTGGGAGTGATGCTGGGGAAGTGGAAACTAGTCCTTCTTCCTGATTGGTCCCCATTTTATTCATGAAATTTATAAAGTTTCATGTAAATAGTAGGTACTGCTGTTTGGAAAGTGAATTTGGGACCAATGGTCTCCTCATATCAGAAATCTATTTTTTGGAAGATATTTCTGAGGTTGGATATGGATGAACTCTAGGACTCTGGTCTGGTAGAAAACAATAGAACAGCCCGGCCAGGTGTGGCTCAGCAGTTGAGAGTCGACCTAGGATCCAGGCGAGGTTAGATTCCTGGCCAGGGCACATGTCCGGGTTGCGGGCTCAATCCCCAGTCGGGGGCGCGCAGGAGGCAGCCGATCAATGACTCTCTCATCATTGATGTTTCTATCTCTCTCCCTCTCCTTTCCTCTCTCTGAAATCAATAAAGATATATTTTTTTTAAAAAAAGAAAACAATAGAACAGAAAATCTTGCTGACAGAAGAGAAATCCTTGGCTTGGTTAAACATCTCAAATTAAAACCCACAAGGCACCAAGTCTTATCCTGAGGCCCTGAAGAAGTAGGATCAGAGGTGTTCACAGCCTTACTCACTTCCATGCTCAGTCTCCTGGTACACAGGGAGCAGATTCTTGGTGCGGATCTGCTGGCGACGAAGGCGGATCTTCTGCTTCAGTTCCTGGATCTCTCTATCGCTGTCTTCCCCTTCCTCTTCCTCCTCTTCTAGGCACTGGTTCATCATGTTGCACTTCATTAATTCAATGGCAGCAATCAAGGACTCTGAGATACTGAAGTGGGCATTCTCCTGGGGGAAGGAGAGCACCAAAGAAGTTGTTTAGGAAGGGGTTAGAAGTATTGAACACCTCACTGATTATAATGTTGGGAATAACACTTCCAAGTCATGCACTGCTTTTATTCAAAACACCCAGGGGAAATGTACAATTCTACTGTAAGGAAAGCGGATGGCTGGAAAACCTGTTCTACATTCTCTTTGCTCTCATATCTGTTCATGCCTGTCCTTCCTGTTCTACTTTCTATATAAAAATACGACAAAGAAGTGATCCAGAATTTCAAATCAGGGTCTTTCCTAAAGCCATACACCTGTATACAAAGTATTAAAGTAAATGTGATGTCTCAAGATAAAGTGTTTTGTAAGCTATAAAATTTTACAGGGACATTATTTATTACATATCTGAGCCTTAGAACAAAATATAGAAGTTGATTCTGGAAACAGTTTTCTCCTAAGGTTCCAGGATCAAGGAAACAAGAATCATGTGGCTAAAATTCAATGCTTCTCTGCCCAAGGCAGCTTCTATGATAAAATCAGTAATATTTTTGGACTTGATGAGGAGCACAACTCCCTGAAGAGTTCTCTATAGATAGAATTTATTGAGCTTATCTTTACTGTGAACTTACTTTACTACAGTCTATACTCATGTTACTGCTGTGTACCCCAAGACTCTTTAGAACAAATGGCACTACAGCCCCTCAGATCTCCCAACTCAAGGGCTCTTCAGGAGCCCATTAGATTCCTCACCTTTTCCAGGTCTGCACAGCTGCCAAAGTCTTGCTCGGACAGGTAGCTGATAAGGGACTGTCCTTCTGACGGTCTTCGGAACATGCCTTCACCTGAGCATAGGTACTGACCACCCTCTGTGGGCAAATGGAATGTGAATATAAAAAGCTCCGCTTTGAAAAGCAAAAATGTAACAGGCATGCTTCTTAAGAAGTCTTGTGTTTTTACCACTAACAATGGTCCCAAATTTTCCCAGGTAACAGGGTGGAAAAAAGATATCTACCTTCTAAAGGAATTTCTCTGAATTTCAGGATTCCAGAGCACAAACCCTCCTGGTTAAAGAATGAAGGAATAAATGCAGAGAACCTGGAGAAAATTCTTTTACCACCTAAATTTAAGATGACACACTCTCCTACCCTACCAAAAAAAAAAAAAGGAAAACAAAACAAAAAACCTGTGCTGAGAGACAAGAAAACAACTGGTTTCCTCCTATGGATGATTTCCATGTGGAGCTTATCTTCTGGTAATTAAACTCAGACACTCAAAGGCCTCTTTTCAAGGTCCCTCTCACCCACTCAGAGAGCCATTCCATCTGGCTCAACAGACATTCATAGTGATAACACCATAGCATAAGAAGGTGGGACCGCTAAGTCAGAGAGGAGCAAGAGAAATGGTGGGGCAGTGTGATTTCTAGCACAGGGGCTGAAAATGATTAAAGGGAGAGCGAGACCGTACAGTGAGTACCCTCCACAGAGCTGAGATGAGCCACACAGCTCAGAGCTTGGCAGGCACAAGGGGAGAGCGAAGACACAACTGCAGCCCTGCCTTCCTAGTACTCACCATACTCCATGTACAGAGAGCTGGGTGTGCTGACTTCACTGCTTTGGCCAGAGTAGGGCAAAGGGCCTCTCAACTTCGACTTATCATTGCAGGATTCTAGTGTCAGTGACCACCAGGAAGTAAAAACACACACACAAGGTGAGTAACAGATACATCTCCAACTTCAGCTTTTCAACATTTAACTGCTCCCATTCCCAATGCCCTCGCAAACAGGAGAGAGGTGGCACACCAACAGGGAGCAGCCCCAAAATGCTGGAACACACAGGAAGCCAACATATTCTAATGGGAAAAGAGAAAAAACATGACCCGGAACGAAACACAAAGGTGAAAAAGAAATCAAGTGAAAGTGAATTTATGAGTTTAGTTCTTGTTCTTCCACCCTCTTACCAAACATTCCAGAAATATCAGCCACCTTCTACCCTCTTGACAAACCAACTTATAAGACTGTTTTCATGATAAAAAAAAGTAAACACATTGAAACTTTTCTGATACCTTGACACTAGGTTTAAAACAGTATCAGAAGGGTTAAACTCACTAAGGAAATTCCAGAATAGGGCTTCTCTTCAACCTGAAATGTAAATGTGTCATACCTACAAATTTAACCCATTTCTGAATTGGCAGAACATCAAAACAAAATGCAGCAATGTCCTTAAAACAAGCATCAAGACAATGCTAGAGAAGCCAAGGATGATGACCTTGTAACCAAAGGGCTGCATGTCCCACCTTACTGGAGAAGGAAGGGAGAGGTTTCAAGAGAAAGCTGGCAAAGTAGGAAGTGCATGGGTGGAAGTTTTCAAGGAACAGTGAAAGTTGGGATTGGAGAAATAGCAGCAGGCAGGGCTCACAGGAAATGAGAAGCTGATATTCTCCAAAGGGAAACAAAATTCTAGTGTCACAGAGGGAAGAGCAGGCAGGAAAGCAGGTGGACACCTGAGAAGTGAGCGGTATGCTCGGGGAGAATGAATGGCTGAGCTGCATCCTACCCATTTCCCTGACAGATGGTGCCAACTTGTCAGCTGCTCCTCTCAAAATATGCTACCAAGTAGTCAGAGATAACTCGGTGTTCTCTTGGGCCTCAAAGATTTCTGGTGGTCCTGACATTGGGCTCTGATCCTCACGACTGACAAGGCAAACCAGCAGTTACCATGGTGCCTTGTTAAGAATCCATGACTTGGAAGGGAACTCTGAAGTCCCCAGTCAAGCTCAGTGTACAACACAAACTCCAACACCAGCACCCTATTTCCTTACAACATGTAAAGGCCGTCCAGCCTTGCTTACTGAGCTTACTGTCTCCTCATGGTAGCCCATTCAACTGAAAATCTCTAACTTTCTTCATACTCATTTGAAATCTGTCTTATGGTTTCTCATCTCCTTAAGAACAATACTCCTCTAAACAATGGTCCTGCAGACTCACTCCTCTTTAACCTTCTCTTTTCCAAGCTAACATACCCAGTGGCTTCACCCGTTACCAGGAGAACATGGTTTTCAGTCCTCCCTCACCACTCTGTCTTGCAGACACAATCTAGTGTTAATATCTCCATGCATTATGGTACAATATTCAGCTTGAACACCACTGTGAAAACCAAAGAAACAGACTAAGTCATTAGAAAAATCCTATGCAATGGCTGGGATGAGGGGTGGGGAGAACCTGATAAGGGAAGGAAGACAAGTGACAGAAAAAGGAAACAGAAGACTTTAGGAGACGCAAAAAGCATGCATCCACATTCAAGACCACGGGAAGGGAAGAAAAAACATTCTGGTGTTAATTCAAGGAAAACAGAGCACTCCATTCTGAGTATTCAGTTATTAGAAAAATTCTGCCACTGTTTCATCATGGTGCCTTAGACGTATAGCAGGCCTCAGTTTCATCTTCAGACAAACAGAATTGACAAGTCTTGACTCTGCCTCCCAGAGCAGTTGGGAGACTGAATGAAGCATTTGAAAGTCTTGGGCAGAAAACATATTAGACAAAATATTGGTGCCATTTTACAGAGAGGTCCAAGCATCACAGCAGGACCAGACTAGCCAGACTTGATTTGACACCAGAATGGAAAAGGAGGTTCTGATATAGGCAAATTGGTCACAGAGAAGCAGCAGCAGGAGGAGGAGGTGGCACACAGACAGGAGGAGAACTGGCTACCAAACCTGCAATGGGATCTTCAACTATAATGGTGATATTCCTGGGGCCTCCTGTACGTAGACAGACAGGTGCAGAGGACAGTCCAGATAGAGGAAATGAGAACATAGAAAGTGAGAAAAAGAGTGTCCTTTTATCTAGCGGGGGTGGAAATTTAACTCCCAAGAGGGAACCCTTGTGCTGAAGGAGGGATGACTCACGCAAGAAGCTGCACATGAGCCACCCCCCCTTCAGACCCTTCTTCTTAGGTTTTCTCTAGTTCCCTTTCCCATGCAGGTTACTGTGGTTTCTGGAATCCAAATGGATTCAAGAATGAGGACAGGGAAGTATTACATGCTCAAAGACCAGTGGCCTGGCGTACAGTCTACACCAGGCCTGCAAGAGGAGATGTGAATTGAGGCTCTAACCCAAGCACTTTTCACACCTAAAAAAGCTCATGGGAAGACAGGCTTTGACTTGGGAGTTTTTTGTGGGGTTTTTTCTAAAGCGTTCCAATAAGCCAAACCACATTCTTGGACATAAAACAAAGACAAAAGTTTGCCATTCATAAGTTTCAGATGAGGGCCTTAGCTCTCACCTTCCTAGAAATTACAGAGAAATCAATGGCTCTAGTTGCTAAAGGAAATCCTCCTATTTTGTTCTTAATTTTTTATATTTTATTTCTGGGGGTTTCTCACACAGAACTGGCTTTAAGCACAAAGGTCCATGTTATACTTGCTATAATGGAGATTCTCTTACAAATGAAACCCAACCAAAGCCTGCCAGACACCAACAACCTAGGAAAGATGATGTCAGGAAGATGACAAAAGCAGTGAACCTCCCTGTGCCTACGGTACTCTCTGCTCCTAGCAGCTGGTGCTTGTGTGAAGGAGGTCTCAGCAGCCAAGGCCTCCTTATCTGACTGTCTTTCAACCTGAGTTAGTGATGCAGTCTGCCCTGCCTACTTGTTTACTAGGTCACATCACCCCACACTCACTATATCCCTTGTTTTAATAAAGAAACCCTAATATCACTTGGCCTCTCTCATATTGGGTAATACATGCTGACCAAACTACTCAGGAACTACAGGAAGGGGAGACATTTAATGGGATTCTTTTTAAAGCTTATTAGTACTTTCCCTCTGTCTGAAAGATACATTTAAAATGCAAACTGTGATGAGTCACATTATGTATGCTCTGATGCTAAAGAACTAGTGAACGAATCCAGGAAAGCATTTACTATTTAGCGATGTATAAAGAAATAAACAAATATTCTTAGAGAGATTCCTTGGGTATCCCTGTAAGATTACAAACTCCTCTCTTTTGTGAGAAGCATAACTTCTCTATCTACCATTTGAAGACCCTTAAGAACAAACTCTCCCTTCCACCCTAAGAAAAATGCAGGAGGCCACCTTACTATCTAGGGGCTGGTGATTAACATTACCTGAGGCTCCTCTGGAGACAATGTTGGTATCCGAATGGGAGCGAGTATGGCTCTTCTTTGTTCCACTGGTGACAGTGAGTGCCTGCCCCTCTGAGAAGCTGGACCTGCGAAGGACACTGGACAGCTGGCTCTGCCCACCTCCCTCTTGGTCCACTAGGGAAGAAGCAGCAGTATCTGGCTTCTGGGAACTGCTAGAGGAGAACAAATTGGAGCTGCTGCTCTCGGCATTGCTGCTGTGACTCTGACAACTGGCGGTCCGACCTCGGGAGTCCAGGTTACCGATGGCCAAGTACTCAGGCCCCTCACTGGCATCACTTGGGGAATCATTCTGGCTGCTGACCCAGGATGATTCTAAGGGGCTGGTCAGAGTGCTGGAGCTCATCTCATTTGGAGTTGAGGGGGAATCCCTGGCTAATGCAGAGACTGGAAGCAGAGGGGCTTGGATGGTTTGATCCTCTGCTGGGGAAATGTGCCCTCTGCTTTCTTGAGGTTTCCGGGGAGGGCCAGAGAGAGAAAAGGAAGTAGACCTTCTTTCTAGGATATAAAAAGAAAGGGAAGGGAAAGGTGAGCTGGAAACCTTTGGTATATATTAAGGGCTTCTCTACAATTAAGAATCAAACTCCCTATCATTACTGGGTGCTCAGAATACATGGAGTCACCTTAGAAAAGGTAAGTCATTTGAGGTGAGTAAAAAATTACTTAGAAGCAGCTAAATTAAGAGAATGAGGTCTTGAGACAGTGGTTTCATGGCTTATTAGCATGTATTCCTCATCTGTAAAATGAGCAATAGTAACACCTACCTCATAGGATTGTTTTGAGGATCAAATGAGATAATACATTTAAATCGATTACAACAGAGCCTGGCACATGGTAGGCATTCAATATATGTTAGCTATTACTAGTGAAATGCCTTCTTGGCAATGAAGTAGAAACCCCGGGGAACCTAAAAGCATCTCTTTCCTCTGTTATTTTAATGATTCTACTGAATTATCTTAGACTAGTTGCTATACAATTTTTAAGATGCCCACTATTAAGACATGAAGTTTGACAAATTGCACCAACCCAAGGCTCTATCTACACCCACCCTGTGAGCACCCACAAAGTCTTCTTCTTTATAGGTGAGGATACATGTCATGACTACCCCTTCCTGCTCCCATACCTGGGCCGTGGTTGGGTATGGATTGGTGGAGGCTAGAGAAGGACCCAAAGTAGGAATGCTGAGCATAGCTGGTTGGAGGGGTGCATGTGGAACCAGGCAGAGCTGTCAGGCTCTGGCTCTTTGTCACCAGCAGTGGGCTCTCATGCTTTCTGGCAAACTACAAATAAAAAAACAATGAGTCAGAGTCAACGATAGAGGTCCACAGATGGGCACTAAAGCACTACAGAATCAATGATAGAAGCTGGCCTTTGGCAGCAGGCTTGGACTGCTATGTACGTGGAGCCAGAAGTCGGACCAGGATTCAAATCCAGGCCCTATCGCTTACAAGCTATTTGGTCCAAACTTTGGGCAAATGACTTCTCTACTCTGCCCCTCAGTGGCCTACTTTATAAAATGAGATTAATGACAACCTTATAGAGTTAGGATGATTAAATGAGATGATGCATGAACTGTACATAGCACCACGCCTGGCACATACATAGTATTCAATAGATGGTAACTAAGAATAAAAATTTTAAAACCAGGAGAGATAGGGGATCCCTCCCTAAAAGGAGTAGGGACTGTGATTCCATTCTAGCTGAGGCACTGATATTAGTAATGGGGTAAGTGAACTGCAGAGTTAATAATAAGCAACATCAAGCAACAACATTTTCTTTAGACTTCAAGGACAAAAATGATCCAGGATAATACTAGGCCATACTAGGTATGATGCTGTAAATCCTACTCCACATTCAAAACCATCCCTCTTCTCCCAGCTCTTTGTCAAGTCTGCCCTTAAGGAGGTGCTTATGCAGACTAAGGATTTTTAAAAGGGTTTAAAAAAATAGATATCTCCCTTCTAAAAAAACATAACTAAGCTTAGACTTTTTACTTCAGTAAGTACTTAACAGTACCTCCACTTCTTTTCCAAGTATCTTTTTAAATGAAAGCCTTTCAGTTCACAACTGCCTAAGTGAAGAAATAGCTGGCTACAGAGGGTTACATCCTGGTGAGGTCTAGGAGGCCAGCATAGACATAGATAATTCCTTTCCCCCTTTACCATAGATGCATCGATTTGAGCGAGGAGGCGGGGGTTGTTCTGTTCCACTGCTTCTAGGCATTGGAGCATGGCTGTGACATGGGCATCGCTTAGCAGGAAAGCGGTATCTGGGGAGAGAAAAGCTACCACAGTGATGGAGCCCAATCGGGAGATCTTCAGCTTCCCTGTATGACCCAGGGAGAAGATCAGGAAAGGAGCGAGGGAAAAGGTAAACATAACTTGAGCAGAATCATGTCACTGTGGAAAGGAGAGCCAGCGACAAATAGAATACAAGAGAGACTAAGTAATATGCAATATAGGGGAGAGGCCAGGACAAGAGGCTTCAAAGTCAGAGTGACCCAGATTTGAATCCTGGCTCTGGAAGGCTTTGACCAAGTTACCTAACCTCCTTGAGCTCTACTTCCCTGATTGAAAAACAGGGATATTAAAACCCAACTCTCAGAGGTATTGTTAAAAGTATATGTATAAAAAGTATACAACAGTTATTGGAATATAGAAACTCTCAGTAAGTAGCAGTTGTTCTTACTGGTTTGCCTGTATGAGAGTAGGGGAGTAAGTTTGATTGTGTATTACATAGGAAGTGAGAGAGAAGACTGGCTACATGTTTCTGATTAGAATCTCTATGGCATCAAGTGAAAGTATGAGACCGTGGGTAAGAATAAGTCTTTAAGGAAGAGTAAAGTGAAGAACAATGAGGGAGTATATGCCACAATGCTGGCTAAGTGACCTGTACCTACCTGTGTAGAATTTCCTGATATATTGTCTATCCCCAAGCAGAGGTCGTAGCTGAGCTGAGAGAGAGTGGCACTGCAAGCTATGCTGCAGCCACAGCTCTGCAATGACACGCTCGTTCACACCGTCAGGGCTGCTCTGGCCATTCTCATGCAAGGTCATGAACTAGGAGGCAAAAAGGCATGAGTCAAAACATGTATACTGGTAACACAGCAAGACTGTGGCCTGAAGATCCAAGAACTAAATTGACACAGGTTAAGAGGAGGCAATCAGAGGTATTTTTCCTCCAGCTAGCATCTAGAGGTTACTGAGTAAGGAGAGGGAAGGAAGGGATTAATGGCTTCGCTCCTGGATTGGGCCACTGGGCTCAGCAGTTAAGACCTAATTAATATGTAGCTCCTAGAGAAAAGAAAGCTCCTACGCATATGTCTCTTTATGCTCTAACTCCAATGGTGCATCTATTCCGGGATATTCAAAGAAAGGATAAACTTCATCTCTCGCCTTTTCTTACAGAGTCCTCTATTTCTGATGGCTTTCACAAAAGGATGCAACAAAAACCTGGAGGAAAGAATATAGGAAAAATGCCACCAAAGATTCTTCACCAAAGAGAAACTATCTGAGCACCTCTTTCTGTCTCTAGCCACAGCATTCTCTATTTGGAACTCCTTCTACTTGGCTGTTTCTGAAAGCAAGGTCTCATAGTCCAAGATCAGTGCAAAAGAGGATGAACGGCAATTTCAAGCAGCTTCTAAGAGTAAATGACTACAGCAATATATTTTATAAAAGGAAACTGGGGGGGGGGCATAAAATAAGGACACAAAATCTACATAAGAAAATCATTGGGCCCTGGCCTCTTCATAAAAAGGATAGTGTAAGACATTTTACTGGGTTCCCTAACCATTAAAAACAAATTACTTCTCTCAACATCATCTCAACAATGAATGTGGCAGTGAGTGGGGTATACATGAAATAAGACTGGCTGTGAATCAATAGTATTGAAGGTGGGTGATGGATATTTTGGAGTTCGTTACACTATTCTCTTTAATTTTGTATATATTAAAAGTTTTCCACAATAAAGAGTTAAATAAATACATAAATTTTGCAGTGACTGATCTGGAACTAGCTGTGTAACTCTGGCAAAGTCATCTAACCTTCTCAAGCTCTGTTTCCTTGACTGGAAATCAGGGGTACTGTGATGAGCTGAGATGACAGGAGAGCAGAGTGCTATGATGGTAGCCAAGGCTGTTAGGAACATGTTTGGATCCATTTGACACTGGCCTCCCAAAAACTCACATTTCTTTCTAATTGGTGCATTCTCGTGTTCTTAAAAAGTTATTAGCATTTCAGTCCCACTTCCCCCAACCACTTCAGGGAAGCTCTTACCATATGCTCTGATTTTGAAAAGCTTCACTTTGGTCCTATATATGCAAATCTTTTGAGAACAGCAAAACTTTTTCACCCCTTCCCCAAAGGAGAGAAAGTGGCCTAGAACAATGGGTTTGCAAAGTTTATCTTTTAAAGCAAATAATCCTCCCCTCCAAATCAGTCCTACAGGGATAATTTCCTCTCCTCAGTTAATAAGAAACTTGACACACACTATCATTCTATCCAAGGAGACTCTTCAAACAGAACATTAAACACCAAAGGCTTGTGGTTACCTTCATTTCTTACCTTCTCCACATGAAGGGCTGAGTGGGGACTAAGCCAGCGGATGTCTTTCACAAATTGCCAGTAATCAGTCTGACGGCAACACACCTGCTGTGGGAACACACATGGTAAACAAATCACTACCTTTTTGGGCCAAATCTAGTTCTAGTGTTGACATTCAGAGAGAGAAAAAAAGCATAACTTTCCTTTGCCTCAACAAAAGTTCTCAGCAGCAATCAAAGGAATACATATACATGTTCACCTTTTTAAAGGATAACTGTTTAAAATTATTTTAATTGTTCTTTTGAACAAGTAATTCATACATATGATATAGAAGGTTATACAGTGAAAACAATCTGGTTTTTACCCCATCTCTCCACCATTCAACAATAAGAATACAAATAATCTGATTTTAAAAATGGGCCAAAGACCTTAACAGACACCTCACCCAAGAAGATATACACATGGCAAATAAACACATGAAAAGATACACTACACATCATATGTCATCAGGGAAATACAAATTAAAACAAACAGCCCAGCCGGGAGTGGCTCAGCGGTTGAGTGTCAACCTAGGATCCAGGCAATCGGGGTTCGATTCCCGGTCAGGGCACATGCCCGGGTTGTGGGCTCGATCAATGACTCTCTCATCATTGATGTTTCTATCTCTCTCTCTCCCTCTCCTTTCCTCTCTCTGAAATCAATAAAGATATGTTTAATAAATAAATAAATTAATAAATAAATAGATAATAATAACAAAATAAGTAAAACAAACATAATACCACTATATACCTATTAGAATGATCAAAATCCAGAACAATGCCAACATCAAATGCTGACAAGGACTTGGAGTAAAAGGAACTCCCATTCACTGCTAGTAGCAATGCAAAATGTAATAGCTACTCTGGCAGACAGTTTGGTAGTTTTTTACAAAACTAAACATACTTTTGCCATCTGGTCCAATGATCATCACACTCCTTGTTATTTACCCAAATGAGCTGAGAACGTATGTCCACATAAAAACCTACACATGGATGTTTATAGCAGATTCATTCATAATTACCAAAACTTGGAAGTAACAGAGATGTCCCTTAGTAGGTAAATGGATAAAAAAACTGTGGTACATCCAGACAATGAAATGTTATTCGGCACTAAAAAGAAATGAGGAATCATGCCATAAAAAGACATGGAGGAAATTTAAATGCATATTACTAAACGAAAGAATTCAATCTGAAAAGGCTACATACCTTATGATTTCAACTATATGACATTCTGGAAAAGGCAAAACTATGGAGACAGTAAACAGACAGTGGTTGCCAGGGTTTGGGATGGGGGTAGGACAGGGAGGATGAGTAGTAGGTGAAGCACAGAGGATTCTTAGGGCAGTGAAACTACTCTGCATGCTACTATAATAGTAGTTACATGTCATTAAAAACTTGTCCAAGAGTGAACCCTAATGTAAACTATGGACTTTGGGTGATAATGATGCATTAATGCAGGTTCATCAGTTGTAACAAATGTGCTACTCTGGCGGGGAATGCTAATAATGGGAGAGGCTATGCACAAGGGAAGGCAGGGAGTTTATGGGAAATCTCTGTACCTTCCACTCAATTTGGCTGAGAGCATAAAACTGCTCTAAAAAATAAGTCCATTAAAATTTTAGGTTCACTTAATAAACCATTTTGGGGGTGAGGGTCAATAGAAAAGAAATAGATTATTCAGCAAATATTGTTGGGGAAATAGGCTAGTTAGAAGTAGGTAAATTTAGACATTGTCCACAAACTACATACCAAGTTAAATTCCAGCTACACTGAGGAGCTAAATATGAAGGAGGGGGGAAACCTATACATCCCACAAGGGAAAAGGTAAGAATATTGGAGTTTTTAATTAAAAATTTTTTCAATGTATAAAAGCATAAGTATATATCAAAAAGAAAGAGACAGAGGCACAAATTTTAAATTTCTGTACATAAAATTTAAAAAGACATGAGTGTTCAGTATTTTTATAATAGCAAAAAATATGAAAAATATAAACAACTTGAACATTTATCAGTAGGGTACTGATTAAATAAATTAGGGCACATTCATGCACATAACATTATATACACATTAAAAATTATTCTGCAGCCCTGGCTGGTGATGCTCAGTGGTTAGAGTGTCAGCTTGCGCACCAAAGACCAAAGGCTCTTATAAACATCTTTCATGGTAAGAGAAATGTAACTTTTCACCTGTTATACAGGTGATAGTTTAATATCACCCTATATTAGCAAGAGTATAAAGAATTAGATACTCTCATATGTTGGTGAGGGTGTAAACAGACATAAGTTCCTAGAGGGCAATCAGCAACAGCTATCAAAATTCAAAAGCACACATCCTTGAGAAAACTCAGGTGAATCTAAGAATGGCAGGCACCAATTTGGTGGCTGGAGAGGCTGCGCTGCCATATTTTGACCAAAATTATGAAGCACCTGGTGTGTGGCACTGGTGGAAAAGGAAACTCACAGATACCAACCTACTAAGAGCTTCCTGACAGCCCCATATTATTCTGCTTTTGAAATCACATAAGGAGAAATACATCTGAAAGACTGGCTGCG